CCTGAGAAAGCCAAGTAGGTTTCAAACCTGGTCGTGGGTGTATAGACCAGATATTCAACCTCCACCAGACCATGGAACACAAACACACTTACCGACCCCAGACACAAGCTGTATTTGTTAACCTGAAGGCGGCCTCGTCCATCGACAGGCCATATGACAGTGTTTCTCACTGAAATGTCGGAGAACAAATTTGTTTTCCGCGATATCGTATCATCCTCTGCAGCCGTACATTGGCATTTAGATGTAATTAGTGTACATAAACATGCACAACCACACAGGCTAATGTTGTTGGAAACGAATTTGTTCGCTGGTCTTTATTCCTTTATCACCCAATGGGAATATTTAAACCACTGAAATTTGTGTTGCGTAAGTATATCACTTTGTTGAGGGCTCCGTACTCGAACACCCGCGAAAGTGCCATATCCAGCGATGAGTTAATTAGGTTGAATGGTATCCGTCAAAGATGTCCATTCTTTCCATTCTTATCTAGTTTTATCACAGATGTATTAATGGAGGTTTTCATTCCGTCGTCTGACTTCATTATTAGACCGAGTACGCAGAAGACACAGTGTTTATAGGTGAAGACGTTAACAAGATGCAGTTTTCTGAACGCCTTGGGTGGCAGTTTAAGAATGTGTTGGATGCATTTCTCACAATCTAAATACAAACTGTTGCCCCAGGACTGAACTTCAGTGGTGCTTTGTTTAACAATAGGGAGTGTTGTTGACTGTGTTAGCCATTTCGTTACCTGGGAAGTTGGATTAGCCCTGTTAGGTCAGTTACCGAGGAAGTCTCTGTATGAATTCAAAAGGTTCGCTTGGTTTTTGCCAATCTATCCCATTTATTGCACCAACTTCCTTTCAGATTACCCATAAAAGGTTGAAGGTATTGCGCTACAGTTCATTTTGTTTTTTTATATACCTGTGAAACAGTCATTAAATATGAAGGATATGAAAAAGCATCAGGTGATTGACCACAGTTTTCTTAGTAACGTAGACTGTGTATCATGTTACCAGCATGTCAATAACGTTTTCACCAAGCGAAGAATTCTAAGCAGAAGCGATAAGTCAGTGGATGAGCTTGTGAACCTTCGTCTATTTAGACCGTTGGGGCATGTGTTACGCATTCCTATTCACTGTCTTCCCTATCGTGTAATGCTCGCTGAAGTGGGTTTAGGCTGGAAAAAGATAAAGGTGATCAGACTAAAAAATGGCATCAGCTCATGAAATCTTTTACTGTTGATTTGAGCCGTGTAGGGAAATGTAGTCTACACGGTCGGGATCCATGAGACAACAGAAACCAGTGGTCTGAGACTCTAGGTGTTATGGCCGGGATCGATTGCAATGATGCAGATATATCCATACATTATCTTTATCATCGTACCGAATTTCATTACTCTCTCATTCATTCTTGTTTTTTTCACAACCTTTTAACACTTCTAACTGCTTTTTTTCTCATCCCTCTATCTTTGATCTAAGTGTATTTTCGTTTGATGTACTGATATGAGGTGTGGCTACTTGTACCGCTACGCAGTAATGTCGGGTCCTCTGTTGATTTCACAGGACTAAAAATGAACATTGCAGCAGAATAATATGTGCACATAGGGCGGGACAGAGTAACAGTCCTGAAAACTACTTTTACCAATTGGAGGGAGAGTTTGGTCATCGATTCAACCACTGACCCACCATCCATCATCCAACCAAATCAACATAGGACCAGGCATAACTGCTTAACGGTCCAATTTGCCACAACTCATATTACCACATCAAGTAAAAAGGCAGTAAAGTGGAAGATGGAGGAAAGAAAATTCAGTCAAAAGAAATATAAAGTACGAAGAGAGACAAAGGAAGAATGAGAAAATGGTGAGATTCGGTATAGTGCTAAGATGAGGATAATGTGTGTACACATCTGCGCCAGTGACTTCGGTTCTGAACCATATCGCCTACAGTCTTCAACTGCTGGTTCCTCTTAACTCGTGCACCTAACCGGCTAGTCTGCATCGTCTCACATGGCTCAAACCAACAGTCAGACTTCACACATCAATACCATCCTTCAGTCTGGCTGCCTACAGACTTTTTCCAGCCTGAACCTATACTACGAAGGCAACGGTGGTCAATCACCCAAAGCCTTCTCATACCTCCTACCTTCAATGGCCATGTTTCACACCCATACAGTAGAACCGAGCGGACTGCTCTACAGGTGCAGTACACGCGACCCTTAATAGACAATCGGATATTGAGGCGGCGCCACAGGTCGCGTAAGCTGGCAGGAGCCAGTCGAGCCTTTTGTATCCGTACAGAGATTTCATTGGCCACTGAACCACCAGGACTGATCCTACTACCCAGGTAATTGAAGTGGTTAACACACTCAACCACCACCACACTCTCTATTGTTAGCCGAGGCACTGTTGAAGACCAATCCTGAAGCAACAATTTTTATTTGGGTGGTGAGAAACGCGTACATGAGCGTACATGAACAATAAGCAAATGTTAATTGAAAAATGAATCTGAACTTGTTATTTCACTGACTTCGTCTGATTAAAGTATGCTACAGAGGTGGAAACATTGCTTTATTGCGTTATATGTAGTTAGAATGTCCATGACGTTTGAGGTCAATATTTCTTTGAGAATAAAAACCCAACCCAGACATTGCTAAAGTCACTTGTATATTTTCATTCAGTTTTCTACACAGGTAGTGGATACCGCTTTCTTAAATTATTGAGTTCATATTTATTTCCCTCAGGAAGTTTAGTACATAATATTCAAAGGTCTCCAACCTTCTTCATTATAGTTGGCGTCATATTTCAAATATTTAGTCCTATAAACCCAATTATTTTGTCACCCTTGAAATTGAGCCTTTCATTTTCGGTGAAACCTTTTCAAAAAAAAAATTCTACGATTTATAAATGTCTTTAATACTATGGGTGGAAAACATTAATTGTATCTACTCGGAAGTGTCTGTTCTACACGGCTCGTCACAGTTGGCATCTACGATTTTGTTGATTTGATTGATGATGCCATACAGAAATTTCCTCAGCAATCCATTCAAAATTAGAGTTGGTTATTCTTCGAAAATTTCTTACTCAAATCAGCAAGATTTGTATAATGTTTCCTTTAGGGTTTCATATTCGCTTCAGCCTTTTTATTTATTAGGTAATCTGATTAGAAGTTTAAATATTTATCAGTGCGTCGTTCTTTGGATATAATATTTTAGAAGTTTTAGAGTCACTTCATTACCTTATAACTCATTCGTGGATTAAAATTCGCTATAGATACATAGATAAAACTTTTGTTATCATAAAGAAAACAGATGAAAGAATTTGATAACATCTAAGCTGGTCATAAAGCACATGAAATCCACGAATAAGTTATAATTCGTTATATTAGAAAACGTTAGCCTTTTGAGATTAGAATAAATGAACAACAAACTATGTACAAGGTGCTCAAGGATGAAACTGAACTTAACATTTAGAAAAATGACCTACAATATCTTTGTGTACAATTGAAAGCGGACATCTGACACTGCAAACAGAGGGGAAAGAACAAGACAAACTCTTCACCTATATGTAGAAGACATTAGTTAGACGAAATCGGTATAAGGCCAAGTTCAAATTCTCATTTAACAGGGGGCACTCAACTATTGCTCATATGCATATAAATTCATCAAGTAGAATGAATTCCCATACCTTCATACGATACAACAGATATCAACACATTAATGCATTAAGTGGTATGCAGACACACAACACGTAGACTCGGAAAACTGAAACAAATGACATCAAGAATATGAAGATGCGATCAGTAATTACATCTAGTTATTATGGTTGGAAATCGTCTAAACAATAACATAAGCAATTTCTTTTTCTACGTTATTTTATAGTCCAGAGGTATGAAAGATATTATGAGATAATTGAAACAACCATTGTTAGCTGAATGAAGGTCATCAGTAAGTAGCTGATGACTTAGGTAATTAAGTGCTACAAGAGATCGGCCATGACTCAAATAACCTAGCGGTAACGCCTTTCACTGAAGAACTAAATGATACGGATTCGAATCTCAAAAGAGACATCAGTTCCACCAAGGTTGCAGATACGTCTTTCCGATGAGTGCCAACAGGCATGAAACCTAGGTCCAGGACTTCCAGCTAATTTCTTCCATCCAACTGATACCTATCACAATGCATCGCGACGCTGAGCCTCCTAGCTTGGTGGTTGCATTCCAAAGCGATTGACATAACATAAATCAACCAGCAGTCAGGGCTAAACAACATGAAGTTGGTTACCCCCCCCCTCCAAAGTCAGTGGCCAATCAGTATCGAACGACTGAAAATAACGATGCGCTGAGTAGTCGTATCATCCTGTTATTTCATTATCTCTTGCCGAATTGGAACGAAAACTCTTTAGTTGAGTTTTACTCGGACAGTCATCATTCTCAACCCCGATGAACTCACCATACGACATAATTCACCTTTCGATGTTATGCGTGCTGATACCATAGTAGCATACCATAGAGCACTTGCTTCCTTTTCCATTTTCGAGAAATCACGATTTCACATTAAAGCAAGTAATCTGTCATTTAGCAAACATATGCAGCTTCATGCATTAGGCTTCGAGTCACACTTTATTTGTCAGAGTTAGTGATACTATTTACCTGGTCAAACTTTGTTAGGTGGTGCGGGATTCAAATCTATGACCAACGGGTTGAAACTCGAGTGTACTTAACGCTGTTTCTGACAGAAACTTGTTCAGTAGACTGATCTATAATAAGTGTGAACCTGTAGGAACAATTAAAATTTAAGAAGTCTTCACATTGTTGCTTACATACTACACCTTCCCTACGTATCAAATCCTTTCTACTGTACGACTCAAGTACGAGAGGTTACGAGCTGCAAAAAAGCTGTACAAAGTGTTGTTTGATTTCCAAAGCATTAGTGTCTGATACCAACTCATGATAAAAAAGTAAACTGAAATATTACGAGAATTCAGAAACAAAACAACCTACCAATTCAATACACCAACCCATAAAGTAAGCAAACGATAATTTTTTCTCGCAGTTATTCCTTTCTTTACTGAACACCATAAAGGAGAGTACAACTAGTGTACCTCGAATTCGTTTTCCACTAGATAAATTATATGATGTTACCTGCAAAATAGGACACAAAAAATATTTAAGGATATGCAGCAAAGTTGTTATAATGGAAATAACTAACTTGAATTATTATAGAAGTAGTGAGGACGGAAAAATAAAAGTAATATTTGTTGATACTGATTACAGCATCAAACAAAACAATGATAGCCTATTTGCAAACAATCAAATGTCATCCATTCAGAAGACTGTCAGTCAGCAGCAACACAGGACCTAGCATTACTGTGGAACCGTCGAAACTGCCACACCTCACGTCAGTACATCAAGAAAGAACGCAGCAAGATAGAACAGACATATAAGGAAGAAAGTAATCAAAAGTAAAAGAAGGTTGTTAGAACAGAGCAAGAAAACATAAAACATCAACGAAATTTGGTATGACGATTGAGATGAAGATAATGTGAGGATGCATCTGCATCAGTGAGCTCGATTCCTAGACATTAGATACATAGTCTACAACCACCAATTTTATTTGTCACAAGAACCTAAATCTATAAGTCTACATTTTTTTGCACGCCCCAAACCAAAAGTCAGACCACGTAGTGATGCCATGTTTTAATCTGGCCACCTTTAACTTTTTTGCAGCCTCAACATCCTTACAAGACGGGGAAGAGGATGATTAGATAGGCATACGTAAAACATATCCCAGCCACCTGAGTCGATGACGGTTTTAAGACTTCACCAACCCTTTTCAATTAAGACTAGACGTCTAAATTCCACACTCCTGACGTCGTGATACCACGACACATGGCTTATATAACGAAAGCAACAATGGTGGATTTCATATATATATATATATATATATATATATATATATATATATATATATATATATATATATATATATATATATATATATATATATATATATTCAACTTGCAAAGACAATATCTGATACACTTATCACGACAACAGCAAAGATCAGTTTGTATTGTGAATAGACAAAGACTGATCCACTCTCTTTAACCAACAAGAAAATGATAAAAGAAAGCCAGGTTGGTCTTGAAACTTAATTGGACAGATGGTATAGACAAAGGAGAATTTTATTCTTGCCGATTTATTACTTCTTAGGCTGACTGTAGAAGTTATTCCATTAAAGAAACCCATTCTTTTTACAAGCGATCCTCAGCAATTGATCCTCCTGTGTTAGTGCTGGAAGAATATCTGAAAAACTGCATGAAACGCATTTCGAGTTTCATATGAGACTGTTTAATTGGCTTAATTACGAAACACGATTCCTTTAAATGTCCAGTTTTCTTGAATGTTTTATTTCCTGTAACTGATTATCGATTGACTCCAGTACATTTGGGAGCTTTACTTAAGTTCATATTTTATCATCTTAAGTGATACCAACTACCATCGGACTGTGTGAATTAATTTCGGAACTGCCCAAGGGCGATGACATCAATCGATATTAGATGCAGACAAATTATCTTTTATGCTTTCGAGGTGTTTCGGTCTTCAGAATTTGCATATGACACATTGATGCGTTAAACTGGTACACACAACGCGCAAATACCTAAATAGATACACACTAACAATAAATATTACTGAAATTTACACAGAAGTTGATTGGTTTGTAGAAATTGTCAATGAATGTATAGTAAAATATAGTATTTGGATATACATAACAGCTGAGAGTAATGTGCATCACGGAAAATAGACTTGCTCCTTAAGAACTAAGTGAAAATGTGATCTTCTTTACATCAGTCTTAGACACAAAAATATGACAGATAATTTGTACCGTTCTTAGAGTTAGCAAATACTTTTACAGATCATACCCAGAACAGTTAACAAAAATCAAACTAAACTATTAGTCTTACACCAATATTCACCGTTAAAATTTCTTCAATGTTGTATTATCTTCACTTTCAGTAATTCAGAAAGTTCTCTAATATATACAACAAAATTCTAATTTTTGCAAGATGATGATAAATCAGATTTGCATCAAACACAGATGTTTTCCAACTTTGTTATATCTCTGTCTTGAATGTTTGTGCGATATTCGGATCTTAACCTCGGTCTGGATTTCCTATTGGGCCCCATGATAATTATTACTATCACTCGAGTTGCTATCGCCAAATTGATTTTACAGTCACTAACATCCCACCAACTGACTTAGACGATAAAGATAGTCAGCCCACAAAATGCACTATTATTTATGTGCAGCTCCAAATTTATGTTAGTGTACAATGTCTCAGAGCGTAGGCGGCCCAATTAGAGTGTGAAAGTAAGAGAATAAAGACAGAAACATGAAGCACATTCATAATTTGTTGTGATTCTCATTCATTCTAGCAACAGATAGAATAAATTTCTTTGGTCATGTATCACAAAACAGATACAGTAGTCAAATTTTGATTGAGAAGTAAAACCGGATGCTACTAAGATGATTAGTTTGTTTACAGAACTCCTTATCAATAAATTCAAACGAGTAAAATAGTATTCAAGGATAAAAGCTTATCAGACACGCCAACAATTAACTCCTAAGTTTTTCTACCAAAGCTTATCAAGACTGAAGAGTAAATAGATCAATAAAATGAACTTAAAGAAGATATAGAAGAGTGTGAAGCAGAAAATCAGGTAAAATCGATGAAGAAACTCGCAAACAGGATGTCACACTTCGCAGCAGCATCAAGGAGTAGAGAAGGACTGATAATGAAGCAGAAAAAGGTTTGTGGGAGAATAAAGAATTCAAAAATCGGGTGACTTTAAAGACCACTCTGGCAACCGCTGCAATGACCAATCAGGTTTCGGTGTTCTGGTTAGAAAGGTAGTTTTTCATGAAATATACAAACCTAATTGGTTATCTAAGCAGTTGCTAGGGTGAAAAATGAAGGTTGGTGGAAATGTTCAAACTTCAGAAGATATCAAAAAGTCAATACATCTGCATAACTGCGACCTATTTTTAGCTGTCGTCAAGGGTCTATAACCATTGATTTCCATGGTCTCGAAGACCCCAGTGAGGTAGTTTACAAGGCTTAGACCGAGTCAGAGACTTCATGAACTGGTGCCATTTCTTGGTCCGGTCACTCTGGGTTCTCTTTCAGCCCAATCCTATTTCAGCTAACATCACACAAGGTAGGCAGTGGCTTGGCTATGTGCTACACACTCCAAGCCACCTCATTCGCTGAAGGTTGATAACCTCATCGACTGACTTACTTGTCTTGTCTAGTACCTTTCGCCTAACCTCAAAATTTCTGCAAAGACACCTATGATCAAAAACTTATCTTTTTCCAGTGGTTATCTCACAGCTGTATAGTAAGACAGAGCGAAACGCAACGCAGTATAGTCGTCTTTTAACAGGTAGTCGGATACCTGGTCGGTGTAAATTAGTCAATGCCAAACAAGCCTTTTGTATCCGAGTTGAAATTTCGTCAGCACCCACCCTTTAGGCGCTGGTGTGACTCCCTAAGTAAGGGAAGTGGTCAAAACATTGCACCACTTCACTCCCTATTCTTAAACTGGGAGTAATTGGAGCAGACGAGTTCTGAAGCATCATCTTACATTTGACAGATGCTAAACGCACTCAGATTTCCACTCAAAACCCCCCGCTTTGTCGGCGTCTTTGCCTAAAAGGATAATGTCGTCAGCGAAAATCGAACTATGTATTATTTAAGACCCGTAACAGAAGTAGGGTGAACACACTCCAAGTTGTCATTATTATTATTACCATATTTAAGAATTGATTTATACATTCCAATTCAGCTAGCTACTGAACACCTCCGAGATCTAACAAACCAATTACCATCTATCAGCAATAAAACAAAATCCATTTTTCACCATAAAATTCTTAGGTTACCTTGATCGAACAATTTTGAAGAGAAACGTCTCAACAGTTATCAATTTTTTAAACGTAGTTAAGTGAATTGATGGTTAAAGGTTAAAAACGTCGTACATTGTAGTAAGGAATGTGAAGTTCTTTTGACGAACTACTTAGCTGTGAGGTGATTTGTAGGTTATCATGAAGTTAGTATAGGAAACCATCCCTACTTGTTGAACACATTAATCAGTAAAGTGTACGAAGGAGTGACTGTTGCTTAACGAATAAGTGAATTAATACAAAACGTTAAAATGAAGTTTAAACTCAGAAATAGGTTCGTGCACTAGGCCATAGCCCACATACAGTGTGAGATTTGCTGAAAAGTAGATAAAAGTAAAGTTCAAGTCTAAGAACCACTGACAGAAAACAAGCTGCTTAACCGATGAACCACATTTCTGTAGTCTTCATCAACATAGTGTACGAAAGCATAAAATACTCATAAGGAGACTAGTGAGTTAGAACGTGTATAAACTTTCTGCCCTACTGTCGAATTTGTAGGCAGCTACAGCACATAAAATCATGAAAGAGGGATAAATAAGACCAACGTGACACAATAAATGACAGACTAAAAATTGAGAAGCAAACGCTTACATTTTGGAAATGCTTTTTCGCTAACGTAAGACTTTTGGGATGATTTCGATGCAGTAGATCAACAAATTTGTCAAGGTAACTCTCAAAGTCATTTTTAACTTCAGTAAATTTAGTAAGTAGGTCAGCAGAAGCCATTGTGCAGCTTGTTGTACCAATTAAATTAAACACACATATACCGCTGTCTGTAGATGAAAATAAAATGAAACAGAATTGAAAAAAGACTCGATATGAAAAACAAAGTGTAGCTAAACAGTAAAACGAATCTGATGAAATACACTTACTTAAGCTGCAACACTTTTGAGCTACATAAAAAGAAATATTGAGATTAAACTAAAGACATTTGGAATGGATATACAATAATAAGTTCAATAATTACGAGCGGACAAAACTGAATTTAATTAATACATTGAGAACCTTTATGTGCTACATCATGTTAATTGTCCAACTATCAACATCTAATATCTCATAGACTCTAAGCCGGCTTTTTACAAATAAAATCATCAAACGCAAATGCAACCCAGTAACTATTCGCTGGAATAGCAATCACTGCACTCTAATGATAATACCTGGCTTCCGAAACTTTGATGTATGTAGTGTGGTTTAAACCAACGTCAAATCGGCTGGAAAACTTGCATTAACAAATAAAACTACACATAAGCAAGTTCAAGAAGAGTTGCTTTCTTTTTGACGAGACTCATTTACATATATATCATCCGGTAAGAGATATTTTTACTTTTAGGGCAATGAAACTAGGGAAAACGTTTACGTTTTGTGTAGATATTTGGGCTGTAACAACTCGGAAAGCTAAGAGTTAGCATCACAAATCACCAAACCTATTGAATTCTTTCACCGGTAGCAGGGAAAAGGAAGGAAACTGGTGAAAAGACGATGACATAACAGAGACAAAATCAACGTAGAACCTCGCACACAAGTGTATCCGATCAAGTTGCCACAATTCACAGTAGCATGAAAACAACAACTGGATAGAGGAAAGCTGATATTCAAGTAGAAAAAGGTGTATGAAAGGTGAAATTTAAAAATTAAGGTTGATCACAACATTGAAGCATTCGATATCAAGTAATGAATACACCAGCGTTATTGTGACTTATTTTCAGATGTCTTGGGTTTCGCCTACCACTGCTTTTGATGTTCACAAGAACACAAGCTAAGCATCCTATACCTTGCTACACAGCTTAGAGCAACAGTAAGAAACTTCATTGACTCGTACCACGTCTTGATCTGGCCACCATGAACCCTCTTCCAAACCTATCTAAGTTCTCCTAGCACGGCATATCGATATAGGAGGTGGCTGAGCATGCACAGTACGTGTTTAAGCCATTGCTGTTGACTAAGGTCTACAATCTCATCCATCAACTTCCCTTTCTTGCCTAGTACCCTTCGCCTGACTTAGAAATTGCTCCCACCAAACTAGAGTAATGCTACGAAGATATCAGTGGTCAAAATCCAGTAATCGCTTCATGTCCTCTACTTTTGACGGCCATACCTCACAGCCGTATAACAAGATAGAATAAACTGCAGCACAATACACTCGCCCTTTGATGGATAGTCTGATATCTCGCCGACACCACAGGTGACGCAAGTTGGCAAATGACAAACGCGCCTCCTCTATCTGAGGTGAGACTTCGTGAGCAACCAGTCCGTTCGCGATGATGCATCTTCCCAAGTAGGTGAATTGGTTGACACATCCCACTACTTCACTCCCTATCACTAAACTGTGACTACTTGCAGCAGACCAGTCCTGGAACATAATTTTACACTTGGCAGGTGCGAGATGCATGCCAAACATACACAGATTTCTGCTCAACCTAACTAGAAGATCCTGCATTTTGTCAGCGTACTCGCCTAACAGGACAACATCATCTGCATACTTTAACTCAGCCAGGGGACCTCCAGGGAGTAGATCAATCCTTGTAAAGTCGGAAAAAACCCACGGGTATGTCCATTACTAAGTCTATAATGAAATTAAGTTGGAACGGTAACAGTGGGTATCCCTATTGAATACTACTAGCTGTCGTCAAATCATATGACAACTCTTCATGAGCACTTAAAAAGCTGCGTGAGTTCGAGTAGAGAGTCTTGATTACCTTTCTATACTGGCTTGATACTCCATGCACACCCAGACACTGCCACAACACTACATAGTTGACAGAGTCAGTTGCGACCTTCAGGTCAACAAATATGACAAGTGTCGGACCCCGGTAGGTATGCTTGTATTCCAGAACCTGTCAGAGGGCAAACGTATGACCAATACACTCTCATCCAGGTCTGAAACCTGACTGGTTTTCTCGAATCTGCTGTTCTTGAGCTCCAGTTAGTTACTTATCAGATAACTACGCATCCTGCGATCTTAGACACAATATTAGTCAAACTAATTCCTCTATGGTTGTCACACAAAGATTTCTCTCCCTTCTCATAGACTGAGATGATCAGTGACGACACCACCTCTGACTTCCATACATTACCTAGTACCTCCGTCACTTTAATTACCGACTTCCTACCTACAACCTTGAAAACTTCAGGTGGCAAACAGTCAGGTGCAGTTGCTTTCCATCTTTTCAAGTTTGATACAGCTTTCTCAACTTCAAGGACAGTTGGAGGACCAACATCCAAGTCTCATTCAGGTTCAGGCTGAATGTTGGGGCAACTGAAGCGTTTCTAAGGACTAGTTGAACTGTGCTTCAAAGTGTTTTACCTAACGTTCTAGCTGCCTGTCATGGGAGGTTACCAGCGTCTCATCCTTTTCGGTGATAATTTCACTAACCGTTGTCTTCTTGCCAGTATCCTTAATAAGCTTAACTATTTGCGGTGTTACGCAACACTACTGTTTTTTCTATCCCTATTACGTTTGATACTCACCACTGCTTGCGAGCGACGCAAAGACTTAGTCAATTTATTTTTAAGCTGCTTTCGCTCTTTATGGTGGTCAGAACCAGCTGGAATCAGTCTTCTTGCATCAATCGGTTCAGATGATATCGCGGAAATCTACTGATGTTTGGCAACTTACAGGTCTAGGTTACTATCTTTACCATTGTTTCTTCAGCAGACTTAATATCACGCCAAGTCTTTTCAGAATGAGCATTGCTGTCACGTTGATAAATGTTTAGCTAACTCCTCGCTAAGTGCAGAATTTGTGTCCTCACCTTCCGGTCGAGCACAGATAGGTTTCGATGCTTCCTGTTTTCTGCGATCAGTCTGACGATACTTCCTAGCCCTTTACAGATCCATTCAATCTAATACCACATATATGGCTGTTTACTGGCATCCAGTCGAGAGGCGCACTTTCTGCTCTAAACTCAATGCTATGGCTACACTAGCGAGTCCACGAGAGCTAGACATTGGGTCTCCAGATACTCGTTAAATGAGTTTTGAAGATTCACTACTACGGCCAGGTGAGATAAATAACCAAGCTCGGGTCCTACATATGTATCTTAGAGATACACCAAACACCTGTGGCTAAAGAGTCTAGAGTTCTGGTGAGCGATACTTGCTGTCCGATTTGGCATATAGTTCGGATGTTAAAAGCTCCTACACGGAATCGATGGTAGGTGAGGTCTTAAGAGGCTAGAAATGAGGTTTCGATGGCTTTGATCGTTGCCAGTGGTTGCATAGTGAGAGGTTAGGTATGGTGTGACAGGCTTAATATTAATATCAGGAAGTGAATGCAAAGAAGACAGTTGAGGACGATAGTTTATAGTTGATTGGGTCTTGTGGACTACTAGAAGCATGCTGGCGGTTAACATTCCCCTGCTGTCCACACAGTGGCAGGCTGTTTCTTCCTAAGGCATCTGAAAGAGAAAAAGATTTTTGTGACTGCAGAGCCCTTGGGACATCTGCTTGAGGTCTGTCACACGCAGGAACAAGCACTCCACTGGCATAGCTCGTTGCGCCATTGTGATATTCAAGCCCGACCACCACGTCAAGGTAGCAGCTATCAGTCCGGAGTCAACTTCCTTTTCGATATGAAGCGGCGAAGGCTTTCGGGTTACTTCCCGATCTCGTCGCCAGATTTGTTTGATAGCTAAACCTGTTGCTACGGCTTTTTATGTTGTATCAGTTGCGAATTCTTTTGTAGAGTAAAAAGCCGGACTCTGTGTAATGAACACCACTTAAACCTAGCCTGTGTTTTGGTGTGAAGTAGCCTCTCTGTTACGTGCTTTAGTCGTGAGGTTCTCACTGGCGGTCGGTGTTGCCTCTGGCACACTAATGGATGCCCTCAAGGATTATTTCTCTCACTTGTGGCTACCATTAGTCTATTGTGAGACGAATGATTTCTTCAGGCCACGATGCACACATGGGGTTATCTTTTATGACCTCATAGTTTATCTAGCTGTAGCAAAGAAAGGTGTTCTATGTCTCTGGTTGTAGAGCCTTCTTAGCTTTCACGGAATTTATTATCGTATGATCGCTGAGTTCAAGAGGCGGCTGAACACGGATGTTTTCAGTGAGAAGATAATCGTTCGTCACAACGTAGTCCAGGCGTGATGCACTGCTGTTAGCCCCCCAACGTGAGACCGGCTGCCTTAATTGCACTCTTCAGCTTCTGACAGAATGATTCCACGTACAATCATCGTGGTGTTTCTGTTTGGATTTCCAACTTTGATTTTTCTCTTCTCTCTCAATGTTCATGGCTTGTCAAGCTTGCAGGCAGTGATCATGACCAGCCAGCGTGAGTGAAGTACATCGTTGGCTTCCTTCACAGCGATCAAAAAAACTTTAGAATGGTGGCTTCTAGTGTTTGACAGTAGATGACTCACGTTTGACCTTCATACAAGTTATGGTTCATTGGTTTAGGGAGATGACAATCAACCATTGGGTGGTGGAAAGTACCTTCTTAAGTCATTTCACCACTTCAGAGGTCGACACTTCGCTCTACCACTAATTAGTTATGGACATAGTTGAAGTGTTGTCTCGACGGCCACTTATCCTCCTAGTGTGAGATAGCGTTATCTGCACCAGTACCTCAGATTTACCGTTTTGAATTGGCATGACAGTATCATAAAAATGCTTTTAACGGTGGGAAAGAAGTCAAAGATTGGATGCAGTGGAAGGACGGAACGTAGAAAGTAAGTTTATGTTAGCTTACCATCAGACATTTGTCACTTGTACCTATGCACTTGGCCAACGAGTTTAACCGTGAACGTCAGATGTGTATGCGGGACAAAAAAGCATGTTTCCTGGGGAATGACCTCCAAAGAAAACGGAAATTCAAGGCAATCGATCAACTGATACAACTAGGGTTCACTTGCCAAACATACATTGCTGCTTTCAAAGAAGTAATATTCCTGGCACTTCAAGTTGCAGTATGTTGACAGCTACCGCGGAAGTATAATACGTGCAACTAGGTGAGTATTGCTAACTGCTAGTTTCGATAGGTGAAATGTGCCTTGTGAGGGTTTCTTATGTGGAGAAATTCCAAATGGGAAACTAACAATCTACGTCACTATTCAAGGCGTGCGTCACTACTATTTTTTCTACACCCACATCATGAGCTTGGGAACTAGAGATCTGCCGCCTCAAGATACAGAAAACAAGCATCTAAAGCCTTAACCATGTAAACACGGAACTGATCTATAGTCGTAGACAAGCCGGTAGACATTCTGTTATCCCTTGAATTGATTCGTTCACCTACAAATAGGAATAAGGTTATCAAACAGATGACTACCTCACTTCAAGACAGATTCCAGTGGACTCAATAATAAGTCCCAAAATGCTTAAGTCAATGGCCTGATAAGTGTATTAGTAAACCTGAAACGTTGGCAATTAGTAACCAGTTTCAGGTTGCCACACTTAGAGACAATAGTAACTATGGCTCCTTCGCAATCCTTGAACAGCCACAGAAAAGATAACAATGTATTAAGACTGTCAGCTGCTTCGCAGCACGATTGGTCACTCTCCTAAGGAATAATTCATTCTGCTTTCCGTTCAGAACTTAGATTTAACTGGAAATAATAGGATAATTTGTTACTTGTTAAAATTTCTACCCGCCTGAATAGTCTGAATCAATGTTTTGATAGGAAAGCACAGAAAACTATTTTGATAATCAGAAACACTGTCGAAACGAGGTGGTCTCAGCCTGGTAAAAAAAAAGAGGAACTAAAAAATAGACAAGTAAGCATATAGACTGAATGAGGAAAGCTACTTCAGGGGGTAAAATAAGCCAAAGGAGGGGAAAAGCGTAGAAATGGGAAGTCGGTTGCGTTTCCAGACGGATGCTGTTTTATTTCCGCGCTGGACTTTCCCCTTATTTCCCACTTTTTGACCCTTTATTCAATTTTTTCCCTTATTGGTCTGTATGGGGTGTATACAAATACATAAAAACCACTATTGTTATGTTTATAATTATGAATGAGCAGATTACGCACAGGCGAAATAAAACGGGTTACGTAGAAATGTATTTCGCCAACAAACCTAACAGGCAATAAGGCTATGTAACCCATTACGCTAGCCCATGCGACAAGAGCTACTGACCTTGTGAGTTTTGCGCACACTTTATTTTCGCACTACGGGATCCCCGATATCCAATATTCTTGTACCATCTAGTGTAAACTAATTCCTTGCTTCTAGATCTTGCCGTATGGTTGTTCGTCTTTGATGAACTTCGGTGATATGGGTTTACCCACTTGCCAGCTGTAGCTCTGGTTAACCCGATAGACGGTTTGATGTGTAGCATTTTATTTCACTGTATTGTGTTGATATATATAACAACTCATTGGACATTTTTTGTTTAGTTGTACTGAAAAAGACTTTTTGCTCGCTCGTTGACTAATACAACATCCTGATATATACTTCGCGTTAACTCCTGATATTTACGCTGTCTGACGCAGGTGGATCAGCAGTGTCGGGAATTATAAATAGGCGATAGTGTATCTGGACACGTATATAAAATTCGGAGTCAGATTTCAGAGCTCGACAGATGTTCCAACATCTAGCAGTGATAATATGAGCGTATAAAACTGGTAGTTTTTGATCTAAAAGTAGAACGTGCTGGTATCACAAGAAGTTTGGCAGTAAAGCACGTCGTTGTTTGTTACCATGCGATTTTAAAACCTTTTCATCGGGAAACGGAAAGGCCGGCGATCAGTGACGACTGCTGTCGCCGGCGTACAACAACACAGTCGTTTGTTTCGAGTGACGGATAGGAAGACTGGAGCTCAGTTTCTGGTTGACACTGGAGCGGAAGTGAGCGTGATCCCACCCACACCTTCCGAAAAACGCCATCCCAACCCAACTTTGGTACTACAAGCGGCAAATAGATCTGCTATTACTACATATGGGACCAGAATTTTGATCCTAGACATTGGCTTTCATACACCATTCCAGTGGGAATTCGTCATAGCTGACATATCGTCGCCTATCATTGGCATGGATTTCCTTCAACACTACGAACTATTGGTCGACTCTAGTCGCCATAGACTAGTCAGCCGTAATGGTGAATTTTCTATCACCGGTATCGCTACGGAGACAAAAACAATAAACTTAGTCGTAGCTCCAATAAACAACACTTCCGAGTACGATATCCTTCTGCGAGAATTTCCCGAGCTCACTCAAACGGATTACACGAAGTCCTCTCCAAAACATACGGTGACGCACCATATTCTTACAAAAGGTCCTCCAGTCTCATCAAAACCTCGACGCTTAGACCCTAAAAAGCTGCAGATAGCAAAACAGGAATTTGATAAACTTCTAAAGTTGGGAGTTATACGCCCTTCCAAAGCCCATGGTCATCACCCCTGCATATGGTACCTAAAAAAGCATCAGGGGAAATACGGCCTTGCGGTGATTATCGAGCGTTGAATAAGCGTACGGTCCCTGATAAGTATCCAATTCCTCACATACATGATTTTATGAACTCTATGACAAAAGTAAATATTTTTTCCAAGATTGACCTCGTGCGAGCTTACTATCACATTCCTGTGGAACCCAATGATGTTCCTAAGACGGCCATCACTACCCCTTCGGACTATTCGAATTTATTCGTATGCCGTTTGGTTTGACAAATGCTGCTCAAACATTCCAAAGATTTATAGATCAGGTACTCCATGGCTTACCTTTCGTCAGTGCATACATAGATGACTTAATAGTAGCTAGCGCATCTGAAACAGAGCACCTGCAACATCTGAGGACGCTTTTCGAACGACTGCGTGAATATGGCATTACAATCAATCCGCAGAAATGCGAATTTGGCAAGGAATCCCTACAGTTTTTGGGTCACATTGTTAATGCCAACGGTGTTAAACCGGTTCCGCAAGAAGTAGATGCAATTCGAGAATATCCTGTTCCAGACTCGTTTCGAAAGCTGCGAAGATTTCTGGGGTTAATAAACTTCTATCGACGTTTCATACCTAAATGTGCTGAAGTAGCCCAACCGCTGACAGATTTATTGCAAGGACGAGCCAAAGTGTTTCACATGACCCAAGCGGCCCATGATGCTTTTGACAAACTGAAGCTGGCTCTAAGTTCTGAAACTCTTCTCTCTCGTCGTGATTCAGAAGCACCACTAGCCATCATGACAGACGCTTCAAATGTTGCGGTAGGCGCAGTACTACAACAGTTTGTTCACGGTCAGTGGGAACCATTATCTTTCTTCTCGAAACGACTTAATGCTTCTCAATCGCGATACAGTACATTCGGCAGAGAGCTACTGGCGATTTACTTGGCTATCAAGCACTTCAGATATATGCTCGAAGGGTACTCATTTATAGTATTCACCGACCATAAGCCACTCACAAAAGCAATTGATGCAAAGCATGACAACTACTCGCCCCGAGAAATTCGACATTTAGAATTTATTTCACAATTCACTTCAGATATAAGGTATATCAAAGGCAGCAAAAATGAGGCAGCTGATGCTTTGTCTCGTATGTACGTAAACGTCTTAGAACGTGACCGTATTGACCTAGCAGAAATGGCAAAGTTGCAGGCCACGGATGAGGACTTGAAACATTTGAAAAACAATGTGAACACCTCATTACGTCTTGAAGAAGTGACACTTGATGACTCTGTATCCATCACCTGTGATGTATCCAAGGGTAAACCGCGCCCGTTTGTGCCGTTATCAATGAGACGATTAGTCTTCTCTAAGATGCATGGCATTTCACATCCTGGTATTCGAGCTACGGTGAAGTTAATTACTGACCGATACGTCTGGCCAAAGATGAATCGAGATCTTCGACAGTGGTCCAGAGCTTGTTTAGCGTGCCAGCGATCGAAAGTGCAAAGACATATTCTTTCACCTACGGGAAGATTTTCCCACCGGATGGCAGATTTGACCATATACACGTTGACATCGTTGGACCACTACCTCCGTCAAATGGTTTTAGCTACATTTTAACATGTGTAGACCGATTCACGAGATGGCCAGTGGCAATACCTCTGCAGGATATATCTGCCGAAACAGTAGCGAGAAATATCATCCAACACTGGATTTCTAACTTTGGTGTCCCAAGTGTCATCACCACAGATAGAGGTGCGCAGTTCGAGAGTAGTCTATTTCAACAGTTAACTGAACTTCTCGGGATCAAGCGCATAAGAACCACTGCGTACCATCCTGCATCCAATGGTATTGTCGAAAGGTTCCATCGACAACTAAAAGCAGCACTGATGGCAGTAAAGACTGATGACAAGTGGAGTGACAAATTACCACTAGTACTCCTTGGTATACGTTCGAGTGTCAAGCAGGACATTGGCTGCTGTACTGCTGAGTTAGTTTATGGAACTACTTTAAGATTGCCAGGAGAGTATTTTAACCCGGCAACAGACGTTCCACCGGACTTGACTAACTATGTACAACAACTACGGCGACACATGAGCACACTTCGACCTCAGTCCCCACGATACCGAGACAACCAAGTTTACGTACCTCAGTGCATCTCAAACTGCACTCACGTTTTCGTCCGACACGACGGCGTACGAAAACCCTTACAGCCCCCGTATGAAGGACCTTTCAAGGTAATTAGTAAATCAGACAAAGTTGTCACGGTCGAACGCTCGGGTAGACGAGAAACGGTCAGCATTGATAGAGTCAAACCAGCGTTTATGGAACCAGATGTCACGGATACCAAGTCTGAACCCGCAGTGAAGCAACCGGAAACACCGAAAACCACCGTCAAAACAGAAACAACGGCATCGGAATCACCCATAATAGCGACGGTAGCAGAACCACGAGATCCGGAAGAAGAGTCCGTTGGCCACGACGTTACTTTCAGACAATTTACATTTCATAAAACCAATTCCCTAGTAACATTATTATCGTTTTTGCTCATTACCTTGTTGAAAACATGACCACACGATTTTGTCAGACTTTTCCGCATACACAAAACAAAATTTTTTCCGGGCACCACGGACTTCCGAATCTCTTATTTCTTAACAATGTTCCAGGTAATACGATTTTGGTTGTTAATTTTTTTATCTCCGGATATATTATTACTTTGGTAAAGTTATTTTAGTGTTTCGAATGTCATACACTCCATTTTTATGTAAACACTCTTCCAATCAGTTTTCATCCTGATAATAGATATCCTTAACATTCCTCTATGTTTTTAATATCTTCAAAATGAATTTACCTTTCTCATAATATTTTATATCGAACACAGATATTCCCTCTTATATCTGTATTCTGGGGAGGGACTTATGTAGCATTTTATTTCACTGTATTGTGTTGATATATGTAACAACTCATTGAACATTTTTTGTTTAGTTGTACTGAAAAAGACTTTTTGCTCGCTCGTTGACTAATACAACATCCTGATATATACTTCGCGTTAACTCCTGATATTTACGCTGTCTGACGCAGGTGGATCAGCAGTGTCGGGAATTATAAATAGGCGATAGTGTATCTGGACACGTATATAAAATTTGGAGTCAGATTTCAGAGCTCGACAGATGTTCCAACATCTAGCAGTGATAATATGAGCGTATAAAACTGGTAGTTTTTGATCTTTTGTGTCTGGTTCTTAAGGCTTAGTTCCAGCTGTTCAGCTTTCTGCTGCAGTGGACAGGGAAATCTCCTCTGCCTTCTTGCTTTTAGCTTAGGTGAGGTGAATCTTTTGTGAGTTGGAAAATTGCAATTTGTAGAGTCATCAGGTGGCTACGAGTTGCTTAGAAGATTAGGGGTCTTTCGTGACTGCCCTCTGTGTAGGTGCCTGAACAGGATCAGCACGATGGCAGGAAAAAGTATGTCAGAATTACGTGGAAGGTAAAAGTAGATAACATGAGTCTAGTTGCTGGAGAATAGTTAGTAGCTAATGCAGGTGTACCAAGAAGAGAGACAGTGAGTGGCACTTAGGGGGGAAGTGATAGCGAGCTAGTGACATTGATAGCTTACTGAGTATATCCGTGGTAAACCATGCAAAATGACAAGACTGTCTAGATGTCTTTTAAAAGAGTCCACCGAAGGGGCTGTGACTATGTCCCGCGACAGGGCATTCCATTATCCACGCATTCCCAAGGGGGGAAAGTTGGGCCTGAGCGTG